CACTTTTTCACTTTCAGTTAAAAAAAAAAAAAAAACAGATACAGAGAAACATTTCTCTATTACAAAAAAAAAAAAAACAGATCCAGATTCCATTTCTTTAGCAAGAATGTTCCTTAGGCAGTGCTTTATATGCATTGGACTCCATTAAGAGGCACATACCTGAATGTTCCACTTTGGTAATAAGTTGAGATACCTACTGAAATACAGATCAAATTATATCTAAGATTTGGTATAAAATAACCCAGCAAAGCAACAACAAAAAACTATGGCGAGATATAAAATTAAAATGGCAGCATGTTGAGAACTATCGAAGATAGGTACTTAGGAGTTTTATGCATATCCCAAATAATATTTTTTTTGAAAATGTGGATCTTTCTTAAATCTCCAAAAGCCTCTGCTATCACATAACACAAACCCAATACTCTGGCCATACTAAGTCAAATGGTTTCTCAAGCACAGCACAGGATTTCGACATGCACAGCTCCACACATCCTAGTCCTGTTGCCCACAATGCTCTTGTCTCTTTGGACCTACAAACACTTCCTCATCTGTGCAGGTTTGGTTCAGCGAGTACCTCTCTCAAAAAAAAAAAAAAATCTCTCTAACCTCCAGTCCCACACCAAGCTGGCTCTCCCTACGAACCCAATCCTAATTCCAACAATGTGGGAACTTCTTACCTGTCCCTGCAACTAGACTTCCAATAACTGGACCACTGCAGTAAGTAGGTCTGCACTGACCTGCACAAGACAGTGAAGCTGTCAGGGAAAGGTTGAGGGAAAGACTCAGGGTGAACACACTACACCACGTGGAGAATGGTAAGGAAGCAGGTACAAAGCCTCAGTTTCCAGAGCAGGGGGAAGAGGCAAAGTTCAGAAAAAGACAGACCCAGGAAACTATCAAAAGGAGTTTCAAGGCTCAGCAGAATCCTTATTACCAGAAAATGCATGGACCCCGGCTGTGCATCTCAGTGGGGAACCCAGGTCAGCACTTTTTTCAAACCTGGAGACCTCCTTTAAGATGCAGATTCAGGGGCTGGGGTTGTGACTCAGTGGCAGAGAGCTTGCCTCCCACATGTGAGGCACTGGGTTCAATCCCCAGCACCACATAAAAATAAATAAATAAAATGAAGGGATGTGTACATCTACAACTAAAAAAAAAAATTTTTTTAATGCAGATTCTGGGGCTGGAGTTGTCGCTCAGTGGTAGAGCGCTCGCCTAGCGTGAGCGAGGCTGTGGGTTAGATCCTCAGCATCACATATAAATAAAGGTATTGTGTGCAACAACTAAAAAATAAATAAACATTTTAAAAAATGCAGATTCTGACTGAGTAGACCTATGATGAGGCCTGAGATTCTGCATTTGAGGGCACAATGATGCTATTCACCTACAAATCACACCTTTTAATCAGAAGACTGTAAGAGCCTGCAAAGTCAGCCTTTTCTCAAGGAACATGGAGGGCCGACTCCTGCCTTATTAATCCTCTCTTTAGCTTACACATTTTGTGCCATTAAAAAAACAAGAGCAATTAAACGAACAAACAAAAAAATCAAAATTCTTAATTCCTCTTTGTCTGCTGGCACCCTTCTTCTAACACCTAACTACCCCCCTGTGGCGACATGCGGTCTCTTATTCATTCAATATCCCAGGCCTAGAAAATATAGGACCTCATAAATGCTTGTTAAGTGATGCTCTAAGTAATAACCTCCATATAGTCACTCTCCCCCTCCTACTTCCCTGGTCTGTCCTTCCCAGCTGAACATCAATCCCTTGAAGACAGATTCTTCCCTGGGTTCTGTGGCACACCATCTGGCACACATTGGTCCTTGGTCAAATGTCTGCTGACCTAGGCTGAACAACTGAACCCACAAGCACCCTACATCCAGGTTCCTCAAGAAAACCCTGCAGGAGGACATATCTTGAATCTTTTTTCTGAAGGACTCAAATGCTCACAAGTATGACTCATTCTCCCAACAGTTAAGCAAATCACAATGAAAGGAAGATCCCCTCAATTTAACAGGTAAGAAAATGGCACAAGAAGGTTATATATACATATTATGCTTCTTCTCAGACAACCTCGTCAATAAAGGAAAAAACGTTTTAGCAAACAGTACCTCAGTCTTTCCACATTCATCAGGCGGATCCTGGTGTATGGCCATTTGATACTTGACATATAAAGAAAAGGACTGGCTGAAGGACGACTTGAACTCTGGGTCCTCAAAGGAGACAGGTACTAACCTCACCTTCAGAGCAAGGAAAATACAAGCAAATGCTATTGAAATACCTCCAGCTGATGATGTGCTTCTGAAGGTGAGGCTAGAGTAAGATCTCCGCAAATCCACTTCCAAAGCTCAGCATTGGAATTTCTCTTAAAAACAAGATCCTCTGGAGTAGGCTGACTGGCACCCAACCTAAATGTGGACTGTGCACTAATGCCACGACCAACTCGCAAAAGGCCAGGAAGTCTGTCTTTGTTTCACTCTGGTTCTCTCTGTACCGGTCAACTGCAGCTCTGGTGCACTAATCAGCACTGCTGCTGATCGTGGCCATGGCCACCACTTTTGCACCCTCACTTATGTGAAGTGGTTTAAGCTTGCTTTCCCTTCCAGATTTTTTTCTTGGGTCATGTAATTTACAAAATTACAATAAGGTCATGAGGACATCCATTGAAACACTCTGCTGCCTGAGTTTTCCAGCACCACTCAATTGTGCATGGGTAGCACATTAACATAATAATTTAGCTATGACTATTTCTACAGATAAACTTTTAAATATGAATAAAGCACACTAACCATGTTGGACAACACATGTCTAACATAGAAATATATTTTTCTCAGTTATTTCACCTTAGAGCTCTCTCACTTTCAGGTAAATGCATCCAGATGTAGTGACTTTATATAAACTTTACATGTTACTTTCCACTTTGAAATTACACATAACTGGCACTTGACATGACACTGGGTACCATTTGCACTTTCAGAATGTCTATTAAGTCAGTCTTATCTCTGTGCAGATAAGCTGCAAACTGAATATAAGTAAAATGTACCACAAATAAATCAAGATTTCATACAATGATACCAAATGAAGGGGAAAGTTCTGTTTGCACAGAAAAATGACAATTGCCCTGCTGACCTGGCTCACAGTTGGTTTGTCAGGTGGGTCCTTGTGAATAACCATCTGGTATCGTTTATAGACCTGGTAAGACTCCTGAAATGTGGCTTTGAACTGAGAACTTGGTGGAGATGATCTCACCACCCTCACCTTCAGAAGGAGTTAAAAAACAATGTTCATTAATTAATTCACTTATTCATTCTGTAGAATATGCATTAGCAGTAATTCCCACACCACAAAAAAGTTTCAGCAAATATTAAAGCATAAATATAAAAATCATGAACATTATGAAAAAAATCAACTAGTAAATAAAGAAGTGATTTCTGCAAATTCTACACTCCTTAAACTGACAGAGGAGGATTCCTCTGAGCTCTAAGCCTCACCTCCGATGGCTGAACATGTGAGCCTGTGTACTGCACACAAGCAGGACTCTTCTAGCACTCATGGCAAAAGCATAAATACACACTCCTTAATGTTAGCTGTAAACAAATCGCCATCAATAAGTCAGTCGGAAAGACTGAAACTGTGAACATATTTTTTGAACATTTTCATTTATCATTTCTAACTTTAAATTTACAACTCCGTTAAATAAATAAAAACAATAATCCTCACAAAGCTTTCCTTTATAGCCTGGTAAAAAGGAAGACTCTGAAATTAGACTTCTTTTGCTCAAATCTCACATTGTCACCATCTTGGTCAAGGAAATTAACCTCTCTGTGACTTAGTTTTCTCATATATAAAATGAGGATGAATTAAAAGTAGTAATTGAATATGGTAATGGCTAATATATATTTTATCATTAATTATTTACTAACCAGTTAAAAGTATTAGCAAAGCACAACAATAAAACAAAATCAAATGCAATATAATAAAGCCATAACTGTTCTTGAGTACCATGAGAAGTAATTCCTACATGAAGAGAGTGACATCCAGTGGATAACGAATCTCTATACATCCTGGGACCCATAACATTAAAAAAGCAATAGTGGGCTGGATGTGGTGGTGCATACTTGGAATCCCAGCTACTTGGGAGGCTGAAGAAGGAGGATCAAAAGTTCGAAGCCAGTCTGGGTAACTTCGGAGATGGTATCTCAAAAAAAAAACAAACATGTTTAAAAGGTGGAGAGGGGGGACTGAGGATGTAGCTTAGTGGTAAAGCATTTACCTAGCATGTGCAAGGCCCTATGTTCAAACATTAGTGCCACAAAAATAAATAAATAACTGAATGAATGAATGAATGGCTGGGGATGTCGTTCAGTGGCAGAGCGCTTGCCTTGAGTATGTGCGGCCCTGGGTTCCATTCCAAATACAAAAAAAGAAGCAAAAGTTTATGTTTATAGAACTGTTATATGAGGTATGGTTGATTCCCTGAATATATTACTATTTATAATCAAAAGATAAAGTCTCTTTATAAGGTCTCTTTATAAAATATTTTAGGTAATGTACTCAATTCTCTTTACAATTGATTTTGTGGAGGAAAAATCAATACCAAAATCAGAGTTATAATAATCAAAGTTATTAAAATAAAATTTAAGTTTGATAATACATATATTGCTCTAAGGTTTAGAATGCATCAAAGCTAATCTTTAGTATTAGGTTAAACATTAAGTGATATTCTTAGATGATATTAAGTTATAAATTCAAAGGCTGATTAGTTACTAATCAAGTATGAGAATATATAATGATATCATTACAGTAAATGTCTTAGAGAAGATTTTTTTTATTTTTATCTATTTGTGTACTTGGAGATAGGTCTCTCTATGTTGCCCAGGCTAGCTCAAACTTTGAATCCTCCAGCCTCAGCCCCACCCCCAGCCACCAGAGCAACTGGGATTACAGACACATGCCACTGTGCCCAGCTGAGAATTTTATATAAGTAAAATTAATACTAAGAAACCTGAAATTGATCTAGAAATGTAAGTCAATTTGGAAAAAAAGAGAATTTTAACTCTAAAACATTCATATCATGCCCAAATTGATTGGGACTACTTAACAAGCAAGGAATTTTTCAGTATAACTTAATACTGCTAGGTTGATTCTCAACTGCTGGCTTGCATATATGACACTGATTGATGTCTTCATCAGATCAGAATACTCTAACAGGTAAAACAGTGATTTTCCTAGTGTGATCTAGTCTCTTACTATCTAAACTACCTTTTGCTATCTAAATTTCTAAAATGAAATTCTAAAGAGTATTTTTCTTTTTTTAACTACTTAATTTCAAAGGATACAAAAACCATAACAACATGCTAAAACTGGAATAATTTTCAAAATTTTAGTAGCTGGTTGCCTCAAATATTTTCAAAAATTCTTCTTGAAGAAGTGGATATTTCTCTCAATAGTAGCTAACTTAGTAAAACACCAATTCTCCTTCATTTCTCATAATTTAAAATATCAAAATATAGGCAAATAATTTCAAAGAAAATAAACTACCCAAAAACAAACAAACATCAACAAATAAAAAACCTCCAAAATACCTCTAACTTGTGTGACGCATTCTCTGGCAAAGATTCAAAAATTAAATCTTCAAGTGATTTGGGCTGGTTGGATTTAGCCTTTGGTGGAAACAAAGATGGTGGCTGACCTTGAGCCTGGAAACCCTCATGTTCTCCAGCTGGATTTTGCTGCATGAGTTTTAACCTTTTTCTCTCTTTCCGGATTTCCTTTGCTTTTCGACATGGAGGCTTACTCAAATCAGCCCCTTTGCCTAAAAAGAGTTTCAAAATATTAGACCAATCACACTTGGCTCTAAAAATGTTTTTTCAAGAATCTCAAAAATTCTACAGTCCCAAGAGTTCTAACAGTTAAGTTAGTTCTGGGAAAGAGGCTCTAGGTTCAACTTGCAATTCTACCTCAAAAGCAAGAATTGCCAAAAAAGGAAAGTGTCACTGAAACTTTTCAAGGCAGTTCTTACTATTGAAAAATCTCTTAAAATACCACCCATTTCTCTGCCTTTGTAAGTAGAAAGAACATATCCAATCAAATATCTTCTGCTTGTTTAACCCACATTTCTAGAGGCAATTCCTGACAGCACTGATGGCAGTGGATGAATAAATGAATGAATGACAGAATTAGAATATATAATTAATAAACAGATTTAGGTACTGAGCAGCTATGACTATTAACACTAAGAAAAGAGAGGCACCCATGGAGCTGGGGCCATAGCTCAGTGGTAGAGTGCTGGCCTCACACATGTAAGGCACTGCATTCGATTCTCAGCACCACATGAAAATAAATAAAGATACTGTGCGCGTTCATCTACAACTAATAAATATTTTGAAAAAAAAAAAAGAGAGAGAAAGAGGCACCAGACATTTATATCTTCTGAAAGGAAATTCAATGATCCATAGAGTAACCTTAACAAGCCTCAAATAAATAATATCCTAAGATGATTAAAACTTTCCCCCTTCAAAAGAACAAAAGAAAACTTAGCCCTGAACTTGGTTAAAAGTTCTAGATCCAACTATCGATTTATAGAACTTGGTTAAAAGTTCTAGATCCAACTATTGATTTATAGGTGGCCAAAGAACGGTTAAACTGCATTTGCAGATATAATCAGTTAGTTACAAAGAGTGGGACAAACAACCCACGAAAAACAACTCACTTTCTTCAACAAGTAATAACCTGAAAGTTAACAAAGGGGAATAACAGAAGAGAAACCTACAGTTCAAAAAAAGATTTTTTTAAATGCATCAACCAGTTGTGTTGGAATCATCTGACTCTTGACACAAACCAATATTTAAAAACTGGAATTTGAACACTGAATATCCAATGGCATTATGAAATTTTACTTAGGTATAATCATGGTATTGCGAATATATTTTTTTCAAGTTCTTATCTTTTAGGGATGAATTCTAAAGAATATGGCATAGTATCTAAAATTTGCTTCAGTATGATACTAGGAGGAGGAACTAGATTTGGGCAGAGATAAAACATAGTGACTGTAATCAGTAAAGAACTATATCAAACAAGGAAAGGGGACATGACGTTCATTGTACTATTCTATCTACACTTACCTACGTTTGAAATCCTCTGTAATGAAAAACTTTTTAGAAACTTAACTAGCTATAAGTAATATTTATAAGAAGAAATAAATAGCCAGGCATGGTGGCACACACCTGTAATCCCAGCGGCTCAGGAAGCTGAGGGAGGACAATCATGAATTCAAAGCCAACCTTAGCAAAAGTGAGGTGTTAAGCAACTCAGTGAGACCCTGTCTCTAAATAAAATACAAAACAGGGCTGGGGATGTGACTCAGTCCCTGGTACCAAAATAAATAAATAAATAAATAAATAAAAGAGCTGACCCTGTACAACACAAAAGAATTAGGGTTGAAAGAAATTCTCTAAACATAATATTTCACTGGACTATTTTTATTAATTAGGATGAAATCTTAGACTAACATCAATTTAAATACCATGAATGACTTATGTAAAAAATATTTTAAAAGTGCCAATGGAAAGTTCTCTGCACTTTGACTTCTATAACATAATTTGGAACCAAAAAAAAAAAATTCTAATACTAAAAGAATAACTCCTGGCATCATTTTGAATGAATAGAAATTAATTCAAAAACTATCCAACTTCATATTTTATGAAATAATTTTGAAAATTTTATAGGTAAAAATTTTATAGGTAAAAAACCCATTTAATAGTGTGTGAATTTTTTTTTTTAGTGTGTGAATTTTTTAAACCTAACTTTTTTTATAAATGAGAACATAGGAAACAGTCTTACCTTATTAAAATTAAGCATGAAAATATACACTTTTTAAATGAAAATGAATTATAACTGTATTAAAAATTTGAATGATAAACTTAAGAATTTCAAAATATCTGCATTTGGGACATAATACCTATAATCTCATTTTTCTAAAAATAACTGTTTATTTTTTATCACCATATCTTTTCTTTCTTTCTTTCTTTCTTTCTTTCTTTCTTTCTTTCTTTCTTTCTTTCAGTTGTAGATGGACACAATACCTTTACTTTATTTGTTTGTTTTTACATGGTGCTGAGGATTGAACCCAGGGCCTCGCACGTTGAGGCGAGTGCTCTACCAACTGAGCCAGAACCCCAGGCCTCACCATACCTTTTCATTAACAAAAATCTAGTTCTCAAGCCTCTAAGGTTATAATGTAATGAAATAGAATTTTTAAAATGACTGTATTTGGGGAAAATAAGGATATTATTTCAGGATTTTAGGCACAATGGTTTAAAAAGACATGACTTGTTCATCTAAATATAGGTAGTCTCTTCCAGTATAAAACAGGGCTCTACATTACAGATGCCATGAAAGCCAAGCATCACAGTGACTCAAGCGAAAAGAAAAGCAGTTAATATAACTTGATATCAAATGTTCATTACCTGGCTTAGGAACAGTATGAACTTTAACTGAATGTGATGGTTCACCAGAGCCCAACTTCTCTTCTATAGCTTGTGAATGAATTGATTCATTTGATTCTTCCTTCTTTGAGAGTTTTTCTTTCTTCATCTCTTCATTCTCTAAGCTCTCTTTGAGGTCATCACTGAGAGTTTTAAGATCACACTTTATATCCAATTTATTTATTAATGCAAAGTCACCTGCAACAGCATCCTCCACCGTGGAATCCATGGGCTCATCTAAAAGCCAGAAGAAAAGAAAGCCCATCGGTTGGGGTCATTTGACATGGCCAAGATAAACACAGAACTATAATGCCCCTATTTCCAGTACAGAGAAACTACTGTGTATCCACCAAATCCATTCTCCTCCTTTCAAAGCAGGAGAGCTGTCCTTGAAACCATGGTGCCCCAAGGGAAGGCACTGCCCATCACTCTTCAAGTTGTGATCAAATCGCCAACGACAAAAGACCTAATTTTGTCTCACTTAAAGGAAAACTGTGACCTAGGACTTCTATCTTTACCCATCTCTCTAACTGGGTTAAAAAAAAAAAAAACAGAGTGACCTGGGAAATCAAATGTTGAAGTGAGTCCCAGAATGGCCAAAGGGGAGCAAAGCTCCAGTTCTACCCAGAACACCACAACAGACGTGAAGGAAGAAACCGACTGCCAGCACTGTGTCGCCACTGGGTTTTGGTGTCTTTTTGTCACAGCTGTTTAGGCTTTTACCCTTTTTTATTTATCTGATAAATTTTAAATTATGAGTGATTTTCATTCCTTGAATTAAGTTCCAGACATAAATAATTTAGAAGCTCGAAACAAGACAAATAAAGAGCCAAATGCAAAAACTATGTAAAAAGATACGCAACCATCAATTTACAAAGGGACAGCATCCTCAAAGCTTATCTACATGTTAATTTTTGAAACTTAGAACATGATTCCCATATTCAAAAAAAAAAAAAACCCTGCATATTAACTAGCAAACAAAAATCTATTTAAACTTGAAGAGTATGTAAACAGTAAAACTAATCAGAGATGCACCAAAATTCTGATGTTTCCAATGTTCCAATCAGCACTGAACCTATAAAATTAAGCCTCTGGCCTCTTCCGTGCCCATAGCTCTACCAAGTCTGTTCCACACTGTCCTGAATCCTGGTCCACCCAGGGCTGTGCCTGGTAAAAACTTAACCTGTCTCAAAATAAACTACAAAACAGGGCTGGGGATGTGGCTCATGTGGTCAAATGCCCCTGAGTTTAATACCAAAAAGGAAGAAGAAGAAGAAAAAAGACTAAAAACTCTGAAAACATTAAGAATCTATAACCAAAGTTAATTAAATACTACTAATCATCTCTTAGGAAAATCACTCATAATTTAAAACTTATCAGATAAATAAAAAAGAACTTTAGATAACATAATTTCTTGAAGGAAAGCCTTATTCAAATATAGAAAACCTGCCAGGTACAGTGGCGCACACCTTTAATCTCAATGGCTCGGGAGACTGAGGCAGGAGAATCACAACTTTAAAGCCAGTCAAAGTAAAGATGAGGTGCTAAGCAACTCAGTGAGACCCTGTCTCTATAAATAAAATACAAAATAGGGCTGGGATGTGGCTCACTGGTCAAGTGCCCCTGAGTCCAATCCCTAGTGGTGGTGGTGGTAGTAGTAGTAGTAGTAGTAATAATAATAATAATAATAATAATAATGAAAACCTAATCCTTACTCAGCAAAGACACAGTGCAGTCTTGTATAGGCTGTATCTAAATATCTGTTTCTCTAGACATAATGCCACTTTCTTTTTCTTTTTCTTTTTTTTTTTTTTGTGTGTGTGTGTGTGGTGCTAGGGTTTGAACCCAGGGCTTTGTGCATGCAAGGCAAACATTCTACCAACTGAGCTATACATCCAGCTCACTTTCCACTGACTTCATAAGCATATTATAGGAACTGAGTAAGATGAGTTGTCAAAACATTCAAAAAATGAGAATTTCAATAAACTCCAGAAAGTCACATTTTGAAAATGATCCTCAATTTTCTTTCCAAGCTCAACTCTCCTTCCTTGATCTGGGGGTGACTGGAACGGCAGAATGTAGTCCCTGTCATCTCAATAGTACATGATTACAGCAACCCCACTCCCTGACCTAACCGGAGGTGTTTCAAAGTGGGAACGCTGAAAAGGTTCGTCATGTTAAAGTAAATAGATTTTAGACCGGGTTTCATCTTACCCCCACAATTTCCTTTGGAAATCTCCCCTTTAGCCAGAAATTTCAACATTTTTTTCAAAACTTTCTTGTGAGATTTTGATGGCTGGAACTGTAAAGGTCGGCACCTACAAAAGCAAAACGAATATTTTTAAGAAAACTAAAACTCTGAAGAAACAAAATCAATCTGGGTAGTACCAAGGACACTGAGGACAATGTTATACATGGGATTCTGGTTAAAGATGGGGCTTAAGGAGCCTCTAATTCCACACTAAATTTCATTAATGCTATAGTGAGGAGAAAGGGGGGGAAGGAGGAAGGGAAAAAGAGAAAGGAAAACACATAAACCAAAGTTGAAAAAGAGAAGGGGAGAAACGCCAGAAGGGTAGGCAGAAGTACAGTGAGGACAGACAGTGTCCAAAGAAAGCCAAGCCCTGATTTTCCAGGGCTCCCTCAGAGTCCATTTCCAAAGCAGTCAGCCATCAGATCCCTCCCTCCTCTGCCCCCTTGACTCCCCCTACACAGGTAGCTTTCAGGAGGCGGCAGAGGAGGGGCCTCTGCCGCGGCCAGCACACTGACTGAAAACAAGAGGCTCCAACGAGGTCCACAGCCTGATCCTGAGCTCCCAACCCTGCCCCAGAACACCAAAGGGTTACTCTCTCTCCAAAGTATGATCAGACCTGATGACAACCACATGTTGCCCAACAGAAGAGCCCAGCCAGATCAACGAACCCGAGGCTCACAGAAAGTAAGCCCCACGGGGTGCACAGAATTTCCAGTGGCACACTGGAACCCCGAAGTCATCAGATTCTCCAGGACATCCGCTACTGTGTAGATAGGTACCTAACAGGTGGCACAAAGTAACCAGGAGGTTTAACTAAGCAGAAAAACCTTAAAAATTCCTCAGAAACCTCTATTTCTCTTTAGCTACCACAGCCATGGAGCAACAGGCATCCCCCCCAACACAAAACAGAAAATGGGCCAAAATAAAAGACCCTCAGAAGGAAGGACTGGTAAGAGAAATAAAAATTAAGGTAAAGACTTGGAAAATAAAGTTAAGAAAATTTCCAAAAAAAAATTCAGTAAAAATAGATGAAAAAGTGAAAAGAAAAATATTAGAGAAGCAGGGCATGGTGGTGCATGCCAGTGTCCCAGAGACTAGGGAGGCTAAGGCAAGAGGATCTAAAGTTTGAGGCCAACCTCAGCAACTTAAAAAGGCCCTAAACAGCTTAGTGAGACCTATCACAAAATAAAAAATAGAGAGGACTGGGGATGGGATCCAATGGTCAAAAGCCCCTTGGTTCAATCCCCAGTACACTCCTAAAAACGTCAGAGGACCAGTCCAAAAGGTCCAGTATCTGAATAAAGGCACTTCAAAGAAAAACAAAGGAAGGAAGATCAACAAAATAATATAAGAAAATTTTCCCAAATTGAAGAATGAAAGGATTTCCCAGATCAGAAGAGTCCCACTCCAGGCCATGTGCGACGGACGAAAACAACACACACAGCCAAATTGTGTAAAATCAGAACACTAAGGATGAAAGATCTTCCAAAGACAAAGGCACGAGAATCAGATGCCACCTGACTTCTGAACAACAGCACAACAGTGAGCAAAGCCTTGAAGACTCCAAAGGAAAATTACTCCCATCTTACATTTCCATACGCAGCAGAACTAAAAAGCCCTTCTGAGGAGTTAATTAAAACATTTTCAGACATGCAAAGTCTCAAAAAATTTTTTCTCATGTACTTTTTCCTCAGGAAACTTTAGAAGATGAGCTTCCCTAAAACAAGGGAATAATCAAAGAAAGAAGGCAAATACATGAGATGGAGATTCAACACGGAGCCAACGAGCATCCCCCAGATGATGATGACGAGAGATCCAGGAAGACGGCGCTGCAGCAAGCGTGAAGGGCAGGAGAGTGTCAGGAAGAAGATGACGCGGGCAGCAGCAACACATCTAGACACCCCAAGAGAAAAAGCACATCACAGAGAGGGTTTCAAAACACCTGGGAACAGGTACACTGAAGACTCTGCAAACAACAAAACAGTTAACTCCAGGGAAAGCAAGGAAACAGTCCAGAAGCCCACACAGCTCAGCTGGGAAGCACATCTACATGTTCATAATGCTGCGAACCATCCATCCAAAATCTTCATACTTCTAAGATGAGAGGCTGAGGGTGAGAAGAAAAAGGAGCCTGAATGTGGCAGTGGAACAGTAAAAGACAGCCAAATCCTCGTTCATAGGGAGAAGCCCTGCAAAAATGGGGGCCAGGGGGAAATGTCAGTATTATAATTAAATAAGCATGTTACTTAAAAAGATAGGGAGGTGAAAACCAAAAGAATCAGCTAAGGGTTGACGGTGATGGCCACAGAGAAATAGAAAAAGGGAAAGGAGGGTTTCAGGGACTGCTAGTCCAAAATAAGCTTTATGGGACCATCTGGACTTTATGAGCATGTATAATGCTTACAAAATTTTAAATTCATGTGCTAGGCAGGCAATCCCTAACCTCTGCCTATCAAAAAGACAAACTGTAGCTGAGCACAGTGGCGCATGCCTATAATCTCAGCAGCTTGAGAGGATAAAGCAGGAGGATGGTGAGTTCAAAGCCAGCCTCAGCAACTTAGCAAGGCACTTAGAAACTCAGTGAGACCCAGTCTCTAAATAAAATACAAAAGGGGGCTGAGGGTGTGGCTCAGTGGTTGAGTGCCCCTGGGTTCAATCCCTGATACCAAAAAAAAAAAAAAAAGACAAGTTGTGAGATTTAATTTCCCTTCCTTAAGTTCTCATTATAATTTCACAATGAACAAAATAGTCTAAATAGGAAGTATGAATAATGACTCCATAAGATTAAGGTATATAAAGAAATTCTGTAAAGAGCAACAATTCAGTTCAGGAAATGTTTGATTCCAGGTGAAATTCAAAAATCACATTTGGCAGTTAACTCAATTTCTTCTCATGAAGGCAATACACCTAAAAGAGTGCTTTGCATGTAACAATTAGGTAATTTTCCTTTAACCAACTGAAAGTACCCTTTTCTTATCATAAAAATCCTCAGGGTATCTTGCTCATAATCCAGAAAGTGACTTCCCTTGAAGGATGTCATCTCCTCATAACCAAGAAAGCTGAAAGAGGATGGCAAAAGCTATGCTGTATTCTATTATATGTGAATAAATGAGACGGTGTCAGCAAACCACACACCAATCTTTTCTCTTTATCATCTGCCCATCTGATGTCCAGTTAGGTAAGAGAAAACTCTTCATTAGGAATCAGTGGACCATTAGGAGTCCATAATTAACCTAAAATTAAAACATGAAGGTGATATATCTGTGTCTATATGCCCCCAAGGCTTTTCTTTAAGCAGAGAGGGGTTTGGGCTTTCACCAAATTCTCAAAATAGCCTACAACTCAAAAACAAGATAACAGCAATTAAGGGAGGCAGGTGCAAAGACCAGACAAAAAATGGGGAGAAACAATTGTGATTTTTTAAAACTAGAACATATTTACACATTAAAACTGAGGACAAATACATACTCAAAAGCAGTTTCATATTTTCTACAAAAAGAAAAGTTTGTTTGTTTTGGTATTAGGAATTGAACCTCTACCACTAAGTTACATCCCCAGACCCTTATTTACTTACTTATTTATTTATGAAAGGGGAAAAGGAAGTTTCACTGCTTTCTAGCAAAGGATAAACAGGGGACTCCTGTTCCAGAGGCCGTGATTCTGCCCATCAAGGAGAACAGGGGTTTCAAGTGGTGATTCAAAGGTTTCATTCCAGGTGCTCTCTGTCTGGAGTTGTAATTCACTTGTTAATTTGTGAGACAGTCATTTCTTAGATATTCTGGTGCCATCCTCAAAATCTGAATTACTTCCGTCCTGTGGTGGGTGTGTGCTCAAGGACAGATAACTCTGCCTATGATGAGAAGAAATGAATCCTGTTTGTCCTAAGATCAGGGAGGAGGACTTTTATTTTTCATTTTGAGACAAGATTCTCACTAAATTGCAGAGGCTGGGACTGAATTTATGATCCTCCTGCCTCAGCCTCCCAAGGGGTATTAGGAGCATGTGCCACCACACCTGGCAAAAAAAAAGGCCTTTAAAATATGAAAAGGAAAGAAAATTCTTCTGTATTGCAATGAGGTGGGAGGGCACATAGGAAAAGACCCAAAAGGGCCCAAAAGGTTATGAAAAAAAATCAAGAAATAGACTTTTTGGTTTAAGTCTTCCCTGTAAGAAAAGTAGGCTCTATATATGGCAGAGTGGAGTTATGCCCTCCTACTACTATAGGATCCTGTGGTTTGACCTACTATAAACACAGCGAAGCAACAACAGAATATGGAGATTCCTCTGCTAAGTCCTATAGAAATTTGGTATCTAAAAGTATTATAAATATTTACCAATATTCACAGCATCCACTAATTAGAATGCTAAAAATAAAGCAATGAAACATTTTCTTACATTTTATTTACATAAGGATCAATTAAGCTATTATTAAAAGTTATTGGTTAACATATAAATAATATAGCATCAATATTTGAAAAGACATTTGTTTTTCCTTATAATGTTTACCTAAACTCATAATAAAAAAGCATAAGATTCTGCTTTAAAATAGCACATAGTCTTCCCATGATAGATCCCCTTACCTTATTGTATACTGAGGACAGCATGTCTGATTCATGACAGGTTTATACACATACTTCCCGCTTCTAAAATTATAAAAAGTTTGTTAATTTCTTACACTGTTCACATGGGCCAAAACAGGTTAGTACAAGAACACTAAATTAAGGGTAAAACTTTAGTGATTAGTATAAAAACGTATTTAGGTTTAATTGCTCTTCAAAACCAAAATCATCTTGCAAGTAGGTATACAGAGCACCAGAAGCCAGCCTTCTCCTTCTCAAACCTTTACATATTTACAGCAAGATGAACTGCCTCAATTACCTTCTCACCAGCACCTGCCATCCCTTCGATGCCTTTGCCTACCACCAATACCCCAAAACCATAGGACAATGAAAGAAAACCGCTGGTGATGAGGTGGGATTGATGGACGCCACCACTGTGAACCCTGGCATGGATGATCACAAACATAAAATACCACCAACTAAACTCTCTCCAGGCATCCCAGAGCCCAGCCAATGGCAGAACCACTCATTCAGTTCTCAAGCCAGAAACCTGTCGATCTTTTTAGACTATCCCCTCTAACTCACCTCTGTATCTTATCAACAAGCTCTCTAGAGCTAAAATGTGCCCCTTCCCCTCCATCTCCACTGCCACTAACACACAAGTCCTCCTCATTTCCTATCTGGATAGTGCAATAATTTCTGGAACTTTCTTCCTGCCTCCATGATCACCTCCTTAAACTCTTCTTTGCCATCTGAATGCTCTTATTCAAATCAAATTCCATCATATGTGTTTCTTAAAATTCTTCATGGTTCTCCTCTACCTTAAAAAATAATAAGGTTCCTTATCATGGCATAAAAAATCCTCAACTTTTGACCTACACCTCCCTCTTGAACTTCATAATTAAAGTCATTAACATTTTAACTGATATGTTTAATCCCATGTCTTTAGAGAATATTAGACTACTTAATGTTGCTTATATTTACATAAAAAACTTTATCTACAAGTTACTTAAAAATCGTCTCTAAAAACAACTACTCTACAAAAGCAATGAGTAACCCTTAATGGAATTTTTAAAAAATAGATTTTGAGACAATCTAGAAAATGTAGATTGAGGAAAGGTAAAATGAAAGAACTATTAATTTTATAAAGTGTGATAAAGGTATTGTAGGTATGTTAAAAAGGAAAAAAATCCCTTCCCTCTTAAATATACATATTTATTATGAGCATATGAATATGCTATCTGTAATAATAATTTAGGCGTAATTTGCTGTGAAGTGTTTTGAGACTGGAGACGGGAAGCGATAAGAATGGATAAAACAAGATTGGCAGAATTTTACTAACTTCTGAAGCTTAGTGATAGATACATGAGGCTCTACTTCTCTGTTTACTTGAAATTTTCGTAATATTTTTTAAAAAACAAAATAACTACACAAAAGAACAAACACCTTATTAAATCTCTTTCTAACAAGAAAATATTCTAAAGGCAAACTTTTTATAAGTACCTGAAAAACAGCAGAAAGTATCTTTGTATTAAAAAACTTTACCTTCGCCATCCTCGATCTATAAGGTCTTGATAATCCTGTACTGTCAGAGAATGTGCCCACATGCCTGAAAAAAAATAAGACATGTTAAATTCAGCAGGGTTAAACTTCCTTCCTGTTAAAAATTAAAGTGTTAATTTTTAAAATATGGCCATTTAGGCTAAAATTCTAGAACACGCACACAGGAAAAAAATACTGCATACTTCACACTCCTTAGTGTGGCATATATGCAACACAAATTAAAAATAAGATATATTTATTTTAATTAAAAAATAAAATACATAAAATGACATCAAATTGAGGATTAATCAATGGTCTCCATGTCATCATAAATCTAGATCCCTATTGCAATCAGACTAGAACACAGCTCCAAACTTTAATTATGTCACCAATGGTTTAATACACTAGTCTCTGTAGAATATTCAGCAAAAAATATTGTGCACATTAGTTCTAATTTATACACACACACATATTTTATATATATACACACATTCAGCTCAGCACAGTCTTAAATACTAAAAATAGGGCAAAAGTATGTAGCAATATTCTCTCTTAAGTGAAAAACTAACCCAAATGCTGAGGATACCAAGAGATGATTACAGGAACTATGAGATGATCAAATTAAACTATGGGGGAAAAGTAACTCACATTTAAAGGTATATTTGAACTAAGGTTAAAAGAGAAATGGAGCTGGGCATGATGATGTATGCCAGTAATCTCAGCAACTTGGGAGGCAGAGGCAAGAGGATCGCAAATTTGAGGCCAGCTTCAACAAGGCCATAAGAGATTTAGGGAGACCCTGTCTCAAAATAAAAATTTTAAAAATAGTGGGGGATGTGGTTCAGTGACAAAGGGCTTCTAGGTTCAATCTCAATCCCCAGAACCAAAAAGGAAAAAAAGGAGGGAAAGAGAGAGAGAAATGGGGAGCAGGGTATGGTGGAGCCAATAATACCAGCTGAGGCAAGAGGACTGCAAAATCCAGACCAGTCTGGGCAACATATTGAGATCCTGTCTCAAAAAAAAGAGAAGCGGACTTTTTCCTTTTGTGAATAGTAAACTGTATCAGAGATATGTCAAGATAGAGATAGGCCTGACAGAGCAAAGTGAAGCAGGAAAAAGCACGGTACACAAGCCCAGCAAAAATGTCCAGACACCTAGCAGGCCCTCACTAATACCAGAAGGTTTCTCTGTAAGCCTCTATTTCCATCCTCTGTAAAATGGGAATAATCATACCCACCAACACAACAGATATGTGCCCCACAGTAATGGGTAAACTAAAATTGAAATGATAGAAATGTATACTGATGTCTCTAGATGAAAAAGTTGAAGGCAGGTTTCTTCCACAAAACTTGAAATAGACATTTATCTTGGCCAATTTTCTCTTACTAAAATTACTGGAAAATAACTAAGGCCCTAGCAAAATATTAATTTTAGGTTATGTTTAATATATCTTACTGATGATATAGATATTAGAGTCACAATACAAAAGTCCTCAAGAAAGAGAAGGATGGAACCTCTACCACTCGAAGGCAACCACTGCCACTATTTGCTGTGCTTCTCCTGGGCCTCGCTCCTCTCAGAGCTGTCATGTCACATAGGCCTTTGGCATCCTGTTTTGTCCCTTTAACCCTCCGTTTAAATGCTGTCCCGTTTCTTCAGTGCTCAGTTATTCCCTGGATCATGGCGTCTGCCCGACACGGCAGAAAATAAGCAGGATGGTTGGTGCCTTCCCCGGGAGACCTGAGTCACGAAGATGGACAAGACAGCGGGCTGACTTGGGTGTCCTCGCCCGGGTGGGTGGAGGAATGACACAGCACGTCCCGGGCGAAGTGTCCAACACCAGACGAACGCCCCGCCGTCCTGGCCGCAGCCTCGGGCCCCAGGCGTCCCACCCAGGCGCCACCAGGGAGGCCGCACGGGAGTGCACAC